AAAAATAGGAAGTAGAACCAATAAAACCAATAAAAATGTCGTTTTCCATTCATACCTGGAGTTGAATACCCCATTCAAGAATTGTTTTGGATCCAATTCATAGGAATCAATAGAAAAGGAAAATCTCTTATGATACACCAGATCCGGCTCGGTTATTGATAAAGTGAATAAATCTGCCAGTTCTTGAAATCTCTCTTCTGATTCAAAATCGTGGTGTAACGTGTATCCTCCCCTGTTTCGGTCATGGAATAGATGAAATAAATCAAAAAATGGATTTTTGTTCAAGAATGAAATCTTGTTGGAACTGTCCATATCCGGTTCATCCTTCGGAACCATATCACATCCCGAATATGATGAAATAGGATGAATTGAGACGGTATTTTGTAAATACGTAATTATCTTGAATAGATTAACCGTTTCTTTATTTTCTGATCTCCTGAGAAAAGAAAGATCTTGTTGTTTCTTCAAAAATTTCTGATCTCTAGTGGACCTCTCAGTAGGATTCGAACCCAGATGAAATTCTGACCATCTGTCAGAGAAAAAAGAACGAACGGATCTTGTAGGATTCCCAAGAAATTCTTTGATTTCTTCTGGAACCAGATGATTAATCATCTGCTTCTCACGTCCCGTGAATAGCTGGGACATTGAGGAATATCCAGAAAGGCATTTCGGGAATCGGTTTGATTCTATCTTTGTTCCTTCCGTTTGAAGAAAGGAAGGATCCCAAAGAATCGATCTTTCTTTTAGTTGTTGAATCTCTCTTTCATTGATCAATGTGTGATATTCCGAAGCCTCATTACTAATGGAATCAAAATGAGCTCTGGATTGATCAGAAGATCCTTTCAATTGGCTAGAATCCCTTACTTGAACGATGTAACACCCTGTTTATAAAATAAATAAATAAATGTATAGAAGCTCTAAAATCAATAATAATGTAGCAAGGCGTTAGTTCTGGGGATTCAAAGTTATAAATTTAGAAGTGGGGGTTAAAATGTAAGTTTCGGGATCTATTTTGTAAAGGATTTTAGGAGGAAGGGGGTATTTGGTAAGTCTTGGACTTGTTATGAATGGATTTTGAGAACCGAGGGCTGTTTGGTACAATTCGTACTTAAATTGTAAAGGATTTCAGGAGTGAGGGTAGAAAGGGTAAATAAAGGACTTAGTTTAAAAGAAGAATGAGAAGGAGGGACCATAATGGTCATTATGGAAATGCGTTTGAATAGCAGTGGGTATAAAACCCTTGTGAAACCCTAACTCTACGGACCATTTATGCAGCCGCCACCTTCACCTTATGTCTCCCACCGGCGCCACCCTCCATTCCGATCAACTCCCCAGCCACCGCCGTTAAAACCCAAGACCACCGCCGGAAATCAAAGCCGCTTGCGTTGCTGCCGTCGGTTGCTCGTGAGAACCCCTCTCAGTCACCGCCACCGCTTGTACCGCCAACTCCGCTGTAGGCACCGTGGTAGCGCTGCTGTTCCACCTCCTCCGAGCCGCCGTTGCCGCCGTCGTATGGTCCTTCCTCTACTCTTCTGATTGTCATCCGCCACCCCGAGGAGGCTGTCTTGGCGGGTGTATATGTCGTTCGGCCAGAAGAAACCCGAGGAAACCACCATGGCTGCCGGCCATGCTGGCTGTCGCAGGTAACGCCGCTACTGCCCGCCTCCTTACGTCACCGCCGCCACTCTGAGCGTTGAAGAAGCTTCTATAGCCGGATGTCGTGAGTAGTCAAGAAGAACCACCATGGCGGCTGTCCATGGTGGCCGTCGCTGTTAGCACTATTGCTTCCGCTAGCGTTGCTGACTGTTTTTCCGTGTCGCCACCGCCGCTAGGTGGGTGGCTGGGATCTTTTGTATAAATTGGTATTTTCGTGGGTGTTGTAGATGTTGTTTGATGACCAGAAAATGGAGGAAAAACCCACCATGGCCGCCAGCCATGGTGGCTGCCGCCACGAGCCACCGTCGGCCACCACTAGGGTGGTTGTGTGCGTGTGTTATGATTAGTTAGTGTGTGTGTGTGGTTATTTTGGAATTAAGCACTGTAATTGTAATTAGCAAGATGAATAATAAAAAGAAACTCAAAATCACCACCGTAAGGTGGTGGCCGCCGCCGTGAGCCGCCATTGACCACCACTACCCGAGGTGGTAGTGGGTGGTGCCCAACTAGCAAAACCCTAATGGACCTAGCAAAACCCTAATGGGCTTAAAGATTAATTTTGGGCCTATTGGGCCATGTTAGGGTGGAAACCCTAATTAGGGTTTAGAAAACCCTAATTGTGAGTAATTGGGCCTTAGACTTATTTAGACCCACCTTTGGGCCATTGGGATTGGATTGTGTATTAAGCCCAAATTATTCCATATCATTTATCTAGCAGAATAAAGGACTTAATGGATTAAGCCCTTAATGGGTTAAGTGAGAAACACTTAACCCTAATCATCATTTTATATATGTGAAACCCTAATTTCACTTGGGCTTTGTGTTGGGCCATCCAAGAATAAGCAAATGGACTAGAACAACTTAATGGGCTTTAGGGTAAGGCCCATATGAGGGTTTGGGCCCAATTTGGAAAATTGGGCCATAGTTGGGCCTAGATGGTTGTATGATATTGGGCCCTTAGAATGAGACATGTTGGACCGGACTGAACAATTGGGCCTTAAGGGAAGTCCATGTAGAGGTTTGGGCCCAATTTGGAAAATTGGGCCATATGTTGGGCTTTGAGCCATAGTTGGACCTTGGGCCTTTGGATTGGGCCTTGGGACTGAGTCAAGCTAAGTTAAGGGTAAAGTAGTCTTTTACCCCAAGCATGGAATTATGGATATGTGATAGAACCCAATTATTAATTGGGTGTTATTTTGATATTGACAGATCGGGAATCTGTCATCAAGCAGCTACGGTTCTGTCAGCGGGACTTCAGCAGTGTGAGGTGAGTTTCCTTCCAGTAGGAACGGGTCTACGGCCACAATGCTAGCCCATTTAAGTAGTAGAGTATGCTGGGGTGAGCCTGATGCCTGGGTTAGCCCGATGCAGTTTATATGTTTCCGGACCTCGGTCCGATGTCGGGGCGGTACCCGAGAAGTAGTTAAGTAATACTTGATGTCTTTGTGATTCATGCATGTATATGTGTTATGTGTTATGTGTTCCGGGCTTCGGTCCGATGTCGGGCAAGCCCGATGCAGTATATGCGATTATGTTATATGTTATGTGTTAAGTGTTCCGGGGTAAACCCGATGTCGGGGCAAGCCCGATGTATGTTAGTTATTATTCCATGCATTATATGTTCCGGGGCAAGCCCGATGTATGCTAGTTTATATGTTATGATTATATGTTCCGGACTTCGGTCCAATGTCGGGGCAAGCCCGATGCAGATCATGTGATTATGTTATGTGTTTATGTTATATGTTATGCTGTGTATGTGCCGGGGTAAGCCCGATGTCGGGGTGAGCCCGATGCCCGATGCGGTCGGATGTCGGGGTGAGCCCGATGTCGGGCAGGAGTCCGATGACGGATAAGCCGATGTCGGGATCCGTCCCGATGCAGTTGGGAGTATGTCACACCCCAAAACCAGAACGATGGAAACGTTCGGGGGTGGAGGACGTCATGTTTAGTATCACAAGATATGTATATGGTAAGCAAGTAATGAACAACCATTTCATTTAGAAAGAAAGTGTTTACAATGTGTGTGTTCACAAAACATAGAATTCATAAACAAATAACAAAACAAGACTTGAAGCTATAATGCTCCATCTTCTGAATTCCCAGCACGAGTACCTGTTTAATAGGCTCCTGAGAATACAAGTTATTTGAAAGAGTTGATCAGCAATTAAGCTGGTGAGTTCATAAGATTTTAGTGATGTGAGTAAGTTGTAAAATGTAGTTGTAACATGTAGTTGTAAGTTCTGTTTAGAAAAGTTCGCCTGTTCCTCTAGAAAATCCTATATTTCCTACTTTAATGAAAGTTAAGTAAAATGACTCTACAATCCTTTCTATGAGTACTAAGTGGATACAATTTATATAAGACTCAGAGTAAACAAACAATCGATTGTCCGCATCTGCCCTAAGCTCACAACCAAACGAGGAACAGAAATTAAGGCGGATAGCACACATCCCATTGGTTGTTAGATCATTGTTGTATATAACCCTGGTGTATTCACTTGTTACTCATGGAGTTAATTGTAATGGTTCCTTTAAATTTAATGAAAAGATTCTTTAAGAAAACCCTTATTTCTTATAATAAAATGGTGACCATAGTGACTACTTTTGTAATAACTTAGTTTATACTGGTTATATATGATCTAATTTCGGATAGAAAGTTATCTGGGTGAATCTGCCCTAAGCCCACAACCAAACAAGGAACAGGAAGTAAGGTGGAAAGCACACATCCAACTACCTATCGGGTATTAATGATATATAACCATGATGTATAAACTAAGGTATTATAGAGTTAATCACCTAAGGTCCTTTAAGTTTTACTTGTTTAATAAAATGGATTAAACCCTTTACTGGTTAAGTTTCTAGTTTTGTATACCAAAAGTTCTGATTTGGAAAGTATGTTTTGTACTAGAAAAACTGTGCTTTGACTCTGTCCTATGACCTGACCCATACCTGGTATCCTTATGATGACTTAATGTATACTAAGCATATATATTATATATATATATATATATATATATATTATATATATATAATCGAATAGAAAATAGATTGGGTGAATTCTTTCCAAGCCCACAACCAAACAAGGAACAGGAAATGAAGCGGAGAGCACACATCCTATTACCTGTCGGATCCTATTGGTATATATATATCCTATGATGTATACATTAAGGAATCATAAGATTAGCATTATGGTCCTTTCTTTTAAACGTAGCCTTCTACCAAGGCATCTACTGTTATGGCTAGACTCGACTGTTCTGTTTGTCGTTTGTAAAAATGTAAGTTTTCCCTAGTTTATAACTATCTTTACTCAAAAATAGTTTGCATTTGTCTTTCAAGTGGTACTGTCACTTTATGAAAGTATTGGGAAATGTAAGTACACAGTTGTCGTTTATAATGACATGCGGATGTACTAATGACCTTAAAACATGTTTATTTTATACTGGTCATAATGTGAAGGCTAGAACCCCTACTATACGCTCTCCTTGTCTAGAGATTTAGGGAACCAAACGCGACCTTTGCAAATTCTTGCAAGTCGTGTAATTCACATTAAAGTTATATGATCATGTATACCCAATATAACTATCACCTTTTGTTTACAACAATGAGTTAGTGATTCATTAGTATAATTAGATCATGTATGTTCTCATGCTATAGCAACCTAGTTTGTTTGTTTTGTACTGTATGTTGTACGTTCTGTTTGTTTCTCATAATTGTGTGTTCTCTCTGTATGTTATTGTTTGATTCTCATCATTGTATGTTCTCTCTGTATGGTATTGTTTGATTCTCATCATTGTGTGTTTGACTCATGTATGAACTGACTCTTTGTGTGCTTCATTGTACTAGAAGTAATGTAAAGTATCTTCCTAAACTATACCTATTATAGTTTACTAACGTTTTACTTGAACTGTTATTGAAAAGACTCGTTTGTCTACTAAGTTATGTTTGTACTTTAAAAACAGAGTTTTGTATAACTATAAAGTAACATAAATTTAAAAGAGTTTTTGAAATGTTTTGACAACTTATAAATGACATAAGTAACATTTTGAAAGATGTTTATAACAAACATTTACACAATTATCATTGTGTTCAACTTGTATTCCCCCCCCCCCTTAAAACATTTAAAACAGTTTAAAGATTCATTACGGGGTATGAACTCACCTGATGTGGGTGATTCAAACGGGTATGCGTGTAAGGATGAGAAGTTCCACGAATGAAGTCCCGAGACACAACAAGTCCTAAATGACATACATGACTATATGGCATGAATATATTGTTTATAAGCAACTATATGAAAGGAAACACCTTCCGGGACTAGGAAACACTTTGACCAAGTGTTGGAATCACATGTGATTCATCAAAGGAGAGTGGAATGACACCAACATGAGCTTACTACCATGGGTTTACGGCCAAAGGGAGTTTACGACCGTAAACTCATGGTTAAACATGCATAAGTGTTGGTTTGAAGGCTAGGGAAGTTTTAGGGACCTTTGCTCTACACTAGTATGAAAAAGACCAACTTATTGAAGGCTTTTGATGAGTTTACGGCCCAAAGGAGTTCACAGCCATAAACTTATGATCATTTATGTTTATGAGAGTAGTTTAAGGTCCTACAATCATCAAGGAAGGGTTCTGGGTCACAAGCCTTGCATCTAGGAGGGTTGATGGCGAAAATGGCACCCTTAAAGGGGGTTTACGGCCATGGGAGATGGCTTGGCCGTAAACTCCTTTTGTTCTTGAGTTCTTGATGTTTTCAAGTCTCTAAGCATGAGTCCTTACTAGATATGAAGTATAGGGAAGAGTACTTACGATCTAGAAGTTTGAAATGGTTGATTTTGGCCAAGAACACTAGTGTGTGTTCTTGGTGAAAATTGAAGATCTAAGAAAAGGAGG